GACGACGAGTGACTTCTTCTCTCTCGGCTGAGGTTAGAAACTTGGCAGTAGCTGGGTAGTCATTCATAACAAGGAATGCGATGCCAGCTAGGTAATTTCGTCAGTATAGTGTAAAGCCGAAGTAGATCTCTTGATCAATACATACCAACAAGAAGCGTGATTAGGCCTTCGATGATAAAAATCCATGCCCACCCTGCCTTGCCACCAATTCCATCCATTTCGATGATAGCTCTCGCCAGCAAACCACCAAACGCACCCGCGGCAGTGGCGGCTGAGAAGAAGATCGCCTATAACACGGTGTCAGAAAATAACACTCATCGGACACATGAGTGGGGCTGTGACTAACCATCCTGAGACCACATTCGTGTCGTCGATACCATCTGTACGCTATCAGTTAGCAGAGATTAGTAACGAGAGAGCCATGACAGGCCTACAGTGTAATATAAAATGTAACTCCAGGAAACAAGCCACCTTCAGCTATACCCAAGGCAGCTCGGGCAGCAAGCAGACCGGCGTAGTTGTGTACAAGACCCATCAGTGTGCAGCATACACCCCAGGCGACCATGATAATCGGAATCCAGATTGAGGGGCGGGTTCGTTTCATCATAAGGTTGGAAGCCGGCTCCACGGCGACATAAAAGGGGAAAAAGATCGCAAGGGCAACCTGCACCAAAGTCAGAAGCCACATAAGACCGCGGTTCAGAAGCAGTAACCAACATTATAGTCCAATCCTGACATGCCAAGGTCCTCCTCGATACCGGCAAGACGAGCATTCCCGATGTTCGTTCGATCAAGAAAAGAGAGAAGATATAGAAGTGCCAGAAAAGGGAGAAGAGCCCAGTCCATCTTCCTGATCAACCTTTTGGTGGCCTTCTTGTCAAACCCCACCGCCTCCTGTGAACTGTTGGAGGCTGTCTCTATAGTCTCGACATCTTCCTTGGATTGAAGAGGCTCGACAGGGACGTCGACTCCAGAGATGGCCATGATTGAATCGTAGGGTGCGGTTGATTTGAGACTGTGGGCACGGACGGGGCAATAGAGAACACGTCAATCACACATAGGTTTGCTCGAGAGGTTAAGGGACGTGGAGAGAAATCTGGAGGAGCACTGTGGGCAAAATGCGGGTATGACGAAGTAATATATAGATCCTGCGGATCGGGGTCGTGACACTCACATTGATTCGGGATACGTAGAACATCGGGGGAACCCAAAGCCCACTTTCCCCGTGTAGCATGAGCCAGCAGCACAACTCCCCAGTCCACGTTCCCCAGACCCACGTATCAAAAGAGGCTGTGCTCGCCATGACCCTGCTGCCAACTGTTGCTTCTCAACAATCAGAGCCAGCAGTGCTCAACAACTGGGGCTTCTTGCTCCGGAGCAAAGGAGACCAGCTCGTTCGGGACAGTGGTGGAGTTACCTTAATATCGTCCAAGCATGACATTGATACCGATATGCCTGGGCCAACGTCAAGGAAGTATGATGATCCTTCTTGATATCAACACAAAGGCTGTTCCCATGGTACATAAGAGGCCGGTGCCCAGGATTGTGGCTGGACTTGGCGTAGATGAGCACATGTCTAGCTCCCATGGCGCGTGTCCATTTAGCCTGGATGACAAGCACGGCAATTGCTGACGGTTGTGCAGAAGTACAGCCTCGGTGGTTTGCGATACGGGGTGAACTTGTACGGGGGAGAAAACATGGGCCAGCAAATACAGGCTCACATATTGATTGGCTGCCATCCTGAGATAGTCGACGGACGGGCGGAATATTAACAGATTGAGGGAGGAGATCTCGAGCTTGGCTTCATGCAACTTACTCAGCCATCACCGGGAATCACACCGGATCTGGATCATATAAACGGCTTGACAGCTTCGAGAAGGAGAAGATAGAGGATTAAGAAGTCGGACAAGCAGGGGAGAGATCTTGGACGAGGCCAGAAAGTGCTTGGCGGCAAGTGCTCCGCCCTGGGCGCCAAGAAAGCCCAGAATTGGCCTTGCATGCAGCGAGATATCAGTTCCCAGCAAGGGAGACAGTCGTGGGCGGATTGTCCCTGCCACGACGTAGTATTCCTGTCGCTATCCCAACATTTTCCTCAAGCTGCCACTGCCGGAGACAGCCCAAGTCCTTGGCGGTGAACAGTTTCCCATGTCCAGGTTCCTGTGGGATGGACGCGGCTCGGTCGAGGGCCATGCATGCCAGGATAAGAATTTCGTTCACTGTGTCCATAACCAAGCCGAGGTAAGTGGCGTCCAAGCCGGACGAAGGGCAAGAATGTTTGGTGGTTTGATATACGATCTGCTTCTTGCAGAACTAGGGAACGGCGTCCGTGGGCACGCTACCTGGCGGCATCTGAGGTTGAATGTCGTGATATCCCTTCGCACCAAGTCCTTTTCAACCAATGTCGGAAGAGGATGGTGGTCGTCTGTCCGGTGGTAGGGCTTCGCACGTGCCTTGGAAGTGTCTATAACATGATGCAGGTCGACACGTGGAAGGGTTTCCGCTGTGTACTCGGTGCTGACTGTTGGACCTGAAAGCCTGGTTCTGACTTGTTGACTGAGATACGAAAGCCGAAGATGGCTTTCTCTCCGGCCTCATGAACAATTTTCACCCATCTGTGGTAGCTGTGCTGTTGATCTTGTCTATAGCGCTTTATACTTGTTTGCTGATGTGTTTCCGCGCTGAAATTGAATCGAAATGCCAGGCACTGACGACAGTCTGGTCCGTTGTCATGGGGTGGACGGAGGTAAATCTCCGCCGCAGTCAGAGCAGCTGTTTTGAAATGAACTCCTCACAGTCAGTCCAAAGTGTTCCAACACCCTCTTTTTATTTAAAATGAGTCACGGTACTGACTACTGCATATTATTAGAGAAGTTTCCTTGTTAGCAAAAAAAGAAAAACTAAGGTTAGAAGAGTAAGGGTTAAAGACGAGTCTACTATACCCAATGACCTAAATCTTCTAGTCCTTAACGGCGTGCCAGAAGTAGTTTATATCGAATTCATCGGCAAGAGAGCTTCTATCGTGCTCGAGACGACGAGTGACTTCTTCTCTCTCGGCTGAGGTTAGAAACTTGGCAGTAGCTGGGTAGTCATTCATAACAAGGAATGCGATGCCAGCTAGGTAA